CCACTTTGCAGGATCAAGCATTAGTAACCTGAGACTTCACTAGCTCACAATGCTATTTGATGAGAAGTAGAGTGAGACCACTTTTTTAAAATGAGAATTATTAAGTCTGAAGATTGGGTTCGTAAAATGTAGACGAATGAGGACCTAACGTACAGTAAGAACGGTTGCACAGTTAGTACTGGAGATGGAAACATGAAAAATTGGATGTGGCTGCCTACATTGGCCAAAGATGCAGAGGAATTTCAGGGCTCCTTAGACAATGATGTCAAGTTTTCTGATCTTTATTTTTATTTAAAAAGAAAAGAACTGTCTATTGAGTGCTTATTTTGTGTGAAATTCTGCCTTTTTGGATGTCTGGCCACATAATACCAGATTATTGATTTTGTTTTCTTCTTTTTTCCTTAAAAAATATCCTTTGCAAGTATGTTTCTATATTCATTAAAATGGTCTTTAATGACATGATCACTTACTATTTTTCAAAGAATAAATGTTATATTAAGCCTTTTTTTTTAACCATACTGGAAAACAACACTTTGAAGGTGCCAGGTGAATGAAGCAGGGCATGCAAATTACTGTCATGAGCTCTATCTGGCATACCCAGATATATGGCACAAGATGCTACGCATGTAAAAAAAAATAATTAAATGGAATATTGTATTATTCGAGAAATAGCATTTAATCATGCAACAAAGACGGTGTGCATTACTCTGCTAAAATAACGCTGGCAATTACAGACACTTGAGTGCTTAACAGTGCAATGTTATGATATAGCTTTTTGGCGCGCGTGCACGCACACACACACACACGCACACACACACACACACACACACTATGTGTATGTAACTTAAAAGTATCTCACATCCAGTCACAGATATTTTCTGTGCTGCTGCCAAGATCCATTCAGCGCAGCACAGAGCGGAGGCCTCCAGGGAGTCAGTTACTGCTCCCTGATTCTTGGCTCTGCCCCAATGTAGGTTAACTTTCAACAGCTGGCCAGTGTTCCCAAGGGAACTTCCACCAGCTGGGAATAAGCCAGAGTGCAGCATATTCCAATCACGCTCTTGCCTGCACAGAAAGAGCACAGGAGCTGGGTATGTCAGGGCTACACCCACCGTGGAGTCTTCTATGCAGATGGAATCCCCCAGCCAGGGAAATATGAGTGGTTTCTGATCCCCTGGTGCTGCATGAACTAAGTGTAGGCTTCTTAGAGCATATAAACTGGCATTTTTCTTTGAGCAGGTCTCACTGAAAGTCTCTATTTCTGTTCCAGAGCCCTACATACAATGGTAACAGTAGTTGCCCAAATTAATGTAAGGCAATTTCCAGACAATCTGATTTTCCTCTGTTCTAAACACTCTTCCCTCAGTTTCCTGTCTCTGACGTGTTATTTCTCTTGCTAATCTAAGTCATGCAGGGTTCATGTTCATAACTGTATTACAGAAATTATTTAGGTCTTAGCCAAGGATATCCAGGATAACAGCCTCACCCACCACCACCCTTCGGCATTTTTATATTAATTTAGAATCAGTTAGCTATTCCTCATTCAAAATTGCAAAATGTGACACTAAAGCTGTTCATGAACAATGAAGCAGAGAACTTACTGAAATGAATAACCTTAAAAGCATACAATAGAAAAGGGGAAAAAAAGCATTATTTCCTCAAGAATTCACATGGAAGGAGCTTTCCATGAGCTTCAGGAATCTCCTCATCCATCACTGGCTTTGTAAAGGGCTTTCCTCTAGTAGAAGCCGAAGGTTTTTTTTTCCATTTTGTAAGCATACTGTAGGTAACAGTAGCTGTTCTCATCCTAAGAGACTGGAGCATGTTGAATAATTAACAAGGACCCATCTGCTCAATCCAGGCTATTTGGCAAAGATTCTAGCCAAAATTAAAAGGAAAACATAATGTTATCTAAAGTAAGCTCGTCAAGGATGAACCACCTACAACTGAAGTTAAATAAAGTTAGCAAGGGGCAACATTATGGCCTCAAAGCCTACCAGAAGTTTCTTCTACATCAGATTCATCATCATCATCCTCTTCCTCATCTTCCTCTTCCTCCTCCTCCTCCTCCTTCTCTTTTTCATCCCCATCTTTCTCTCCCTTCCCATCTCTTTCTTCCATTCTTTCATCACCATGCTCTTCCAGATTTTTATCCTCTTCCTTTTCATTGCTGGCAGTTAAATTCAGCATGGTTATGTCAGGCAGACTTCCATCTTGGTGCACTAGTCTGTTGGTAAATAATGAGGTGTCAGCAAACTGAGCCATATTGGTATCAAGAACGATTTTTTTTCAAGCAGTATAATTTTAAAAAATAAACAATGCTTGTATGAATGCCATTGAACTGGAAATGCTAATGATTCTGGTACTTTCTGCAAACAAACACTGCAAACTGAGTCCGAATGTAGTAGTAATTATTTCTCACTTGGATGCTAGTGATTAGTTAGTAATGAGTGGTTTTGACACCTAAACTTGACATTTTCCCCAATGGAGAAAATGGTCAGAGTTTAAGATGTAGAAGCATGAAATGACACTGTGAGAGAGCGAGCATTTCATTACTTCATGGGGGACTTACTCATTGTGGTGGTTTGGTATTTTTTTCTTGAGGCTGCTCAAAGTAATTGAAACAGAAAGAAAAAGGGAAATGAGAACAGGGGTTATAAAAGAAGATCAGAGATAATAAATACATCATGCTACATAACTGCTACAGCATTCTCCTACTCCATCCACAGCAGCCTTCTAATGTCAAGAGCATGCATCATGGCATTAACAGGGCACTTCTACTAAGAATCACAAAATCAGAGCAAATTGGAAAGTGTGCCATATAATTATGCTAAAACTAATTGCTAAAAAGTGTGCGTATTCTCCCATGCTTTTAGTAATGCAGCTGAATTATCACAGGTAAGCTATACACTTCATATTTTGAATACATTTTCAACTTTTTGACATGGAAAGGTGCAACTGGGTAGCAAAGAAACATGTTAGTTTCAAAGGTTGTTTTTCCCCCCCAACTGCAGATTCATAAACAGTATAGCAAAAATTCCAAGGTCACTGCTTCAATAGATCTGATATCATCTAATTTGGGGAAGGCCTACAGCCTCTCTCTTTTCTAAAACTTGCAGAGGTCATACCTCAAATCCTGAACCATGTCTGAATGAATCACTTAGCAAAGTCAAGAGTATAGAAAATAAGCTGAAATACACAGTTTGCAAATTATGTATTTTAACATAGAAATGATAGTAATGTTAAATCTTTTGAGAATTATTATGACATTTAAACTCTTCCTCTTCTATTATCTTTGCTTTTTTACAAAAGCAAAGACAAAATTAATAATCACTCATCTTCTATGATATAAAAAGTTTCAGCCCAATATGAAACTCACCAATTCATTTTGCTTTTCACATGTATTTACACAGTATACAAATTGGAGACTGACTGCAACCAAAACCTTAAATCCCAACACCTCTGAACTTTGTGGACATTCAGATCAGGGTCTGGATTGGCACTGCCCCTCTCTCTCTAATGGATTCAAACCTGGATCCAAACTTCCCCAAACTCTGGGAAAATTTGTATATGGATCAGAATCATGTGGCTAAGATTCCTCTCTAACATAGACTCTTCTGACATTAACATATGACTCCCCTACTTTCTTACTGCCAGATCCTGCACACAAGTCTAAGCATAGTGACACACACCTCTATCATGAATACTTCCTTTTGAATGAGATTATTCCTGTAGCACTCTGTTTGGCAGTAAGGGTATGCAAGAACCATTTAGCTACAGTAATAAATATAATATAATTAGGAATGTTATAAAACATCTATTGTATTTTTTTATTCAGGTAACTAATTTTAATAGGCTAAAGTATTATTTCTTTTTTTACAATATGAAGTGTTAGCATATTATTCAATTTTATTAATTTTAGACAACAATCCCTGAAACTTTTAACTAGCATATTAGACAATTGAAAATCTAGAAATACCTATTTACTCTGTACAATGTATTTCAAAATGCTGCTTATAAAACATGAACAGCACAGCAGGAGCTGTCAATGCAATAGTTAAACAAGCAAAAGCATCTTTCAAATAATTGGGACTTGCAATTTCTTCAAGTTGCAAGTTCAAGTAGCTTAAATAAGGGAAAGGTTACAGAAATCTGGCTAATTGATCCTCAAGCAGTAAATTAATTGCATGCTAATTATTGAAAGACAGAAAAGGCACAGTGCATAATATTGCTTTAATACAATGGTCAGTCCCAAACATATATAATCTTACGAAGTATACCTATGAAAATGATTACTAAGAAAAACACCATTTGACTAAATCCTTATCTTTCAGGAGACGCCTCACCAAGATATTTTATTTCAGAAATAAGCAAGAGTATGAATAGATATTAAGGGTACTTGCTCCCAGCTGCAGCATAGATATACCCATATAGGCCCCAATTCAGCAAGGTATTTAAGCATGGCTAAACTTTAGGTGCCTGAATGGTCCCCCAGACTACTAAGATCAATGGTACTCCTCAGGCGTCTAAAGTTAGGTATATGCTCAAATACCTTGCTGAATCAGGGCCACATTTAACTACGTTTAATATATTTACTAGAGCTGAGTGAATAATTAATAGTGAATAACGTGTTTGCCACATTTATGCCTCTTAGGCTCTTTGTGAATTTTCTGCCAACAATTTATGTTTTTTTTTTAATTCACTTGTTCAGAATCATTTGCCAAATAATTTGTTAATAATGCTTGGTCTGTATAATATTCCTGAGTATTCAATATCCAAGATTCAAGCTGTTCGTTTTGAACGGGGACACAGCTCACATGGCATTTTTTCTGTCTCTGACTGAATGGGTGTTACTGGCGTGGATGCTCAAGTTTACAAGTTCAGCATTTATTTTCTGTGGATAATGCCTAATACTTACTTAAAATTTGCTATTTCTGTGACCATTCCTGCCAGCAAACTCATTCACTACAGCTGGGATTTTTAAAGGCACCTAGGAGATTCAGGTGCCCAAGACCCATTCGCCTTTGAGAACCGCAGCCTAAAATATTGACTGCAAATGCACACAAAAAGGACATAAGCTCAGGATAAGAACATTAATTTTTCATTTGAGCAAATATTTACAGAAAACTTGTTGAGGTATTTGCCCAGTTTTTGTGCTTACGTTCAGGAGTAACAAAAAAACGACCCCACTCTTATTCTTACCCTAATTTTTAAAAAACCTATCCTTGAAAAACTGAAAGGAATCTTGCTTATGGAAATATTTTAAAAAGCTAATTTTATGAAGGCATGATGATAATATAAGTTTTGTGGTTTAGATCCTGTAGCACTCAACTCAGTACACGGCTTAACTGGTTTTAATGTCCTGAAATGTACAGGTGTTCTATTTTTGTCTACACTTCTATTACTTTGTATACAAGAAAGCATACCCAAAGGCACAGACTTTCATTTTTCTTCAGAAAAATACTTGTTGTGCATATTTCTTTGACTCTCAAATGCATTATTGAAAGTACATCTGAGGTAAGTAGGCGTGTGGATATGAATATGTGTACATGCATACACATACAAAGCATAGCTATACCAGCCTCCTGAACTAATTCTGTTAACTGCAGCCAATTAGAAATAGTATTGTCTATGCCTTTATTGAGCTTGAATGAAGTTTAAGAGAAGAATCTGAGTTGGGGAGAGAATTAACAGCCTCTAAATCCATGTGGCAGATGTGTTAACCACTATAAACCATCTGGTGGGTTTAGAAGACTAAGAATTGTCTTCTTTGCTTATTTCACAGTACTGCACAGCATGAGTGATTTTTGTTTCTAGGAACTGAAGAACTAGCAAACAAATTAAAGTACATTTTTTAAGAAAAGGAAAGGAAACATTGAAGTATACCCACCTATTTATTATTAGATAAACACGACCATTGACTTTAGCATGGCTACGAGGTAAGAGATGAAGAGAGCACAAGAATGCATGCGATGGCAAAGGAGAAATGAGTTAAAGAGAGAAAAAAGGAAACTGTTAAACAGGAATGAATGTACTTGGTTACCTGTTACAGAGGCAAGCATTGTCACAACGAGACACTAAGTCTAAACACTTATTACTAATCTTGCAGTGAAAAAGGCTAGGAAGCCTATATGTACAATAGCATTACTAGATGGCAAGCAACTTCCGCTAGAAGGACTGTAGATAAATCTCAGGGGCCACAAAAATGTCAGAACAGGTTTTATTCTTTAGCTTGATCTCATATTTGTCACGTACAATATTTATTGCTTCTTTCGATGGACATATGTCTATTTAAGGTACTTATATGATCCCCTTAACTGTAGTATCTAAGCAACTCACAATCTTTAATGTACTTATTTCCACAATAACCCTATGGGTTAGGAAAGTACCATTCTCTCCATTTTATAAATAAGAAATGTTGGCATAGAGAGATTAAGTAGCTTGCCCGAGGTCACAAAGATAGTCTTTGACAGAGCAGGGAATTTTGGAAACTGAATCCCAAATAAGCGCCGTAACCACTGGATCACCCTTCCTCTCACTTGAATATACTATTCAACAGCCCAATTCCGCCATCTTGAGACATAACCATGAGTTTATGCTATTATGTCAGGTTCTACCACCCTTCCTCCTGGTAGAAACTTCCTCTGACATTCATTGTGCCATCTTTACTCATGTTGAGTAGTACCTTACTCCAAAAATAGTCCCAGTGATTTCAATAAATCTTAGTTTCAGACTAAGGCCTCAGTTCAGGAAAGCATTCTTGTTCAGGACAGAATTTGATAATGGATTTAACGTTGAATGTGTTCCTAAATCCCATTGACTACCATGGGAATTAAAGCACATGTGCAAGTGTTTTCATGAACTGGGGCTTAAAATCTAATTAACATTTTCTCTATGAAAATGACTAAATCTCCAGTGTTGTCCACATACTGAAAATAAAGGTTTGTCTTCCTGTAGGAGTCAGTTGATACAACACGATAAAATTAACAGAAGTAAAAAAACAACCATAAATAGCAGGCACAATAAATGTGGAGCTACGTCACTAGATCTTTTAGAATGGAATGAATGAATGACTGCATGTTGCTTTGATGGCTTTATAAAAGCTAGACCTTGTTATTGTACATAACTACTTTTAATAGGTTTTCTGTATCATAACATCTTAAATTTTCTGCACAACCAGGTTTTTACTGCTGACAGCACTGCCAGACCAGTATCGGTAGCTGTGGCAAATCAAGATACATCTTATTCTGCTTCATGTACCATGAACAAAACTGATAGCTAAATTCTGGTTCCAGAATCCTTACAGGTAGTGTCAACTGACACCTGGCACTGACAATACACTGTGTCAAGTAGGAGGGAAACAGCTGGATTTTCAAATGTCAGGTTTTATTTGTCTTAATTACTGTAGTAAAAAGGAGAAAACTTAGTTTGATTTGCAAATAGGACAGGCTTTCTGTGAAAGTCACTGATGAAGAACAAATATATGTGACAATTATGGGTTTCAAAATACTGTAAAAAAAAGTAAATGTTGTCACTTTTAGAAAACAGTTTTAAAAATCTTTAGCTCCTAATATAACAGTTGCTCACAATCCAGTCCCACAGCTTGATGTATGCCATAAAAACTGTGTTGTATTAGCATGGAACGAAAGAGAATGTAACAATAGATATTCTTTCTTTACCATTTTAATAAAACAAAGTCCTAAAATGCTGACTGTAACTACTAAATCGACTTCTACTATTAGGGTCCTTAGACCCAGACCTAGAGCATAAGGATATTTTCATTAGCTTAAAATGAAAATCTACACACAGTCACCTTCCTGTTTACTTTTTTTATAATATTGGTACTTTCTAACTTTGATTGTTCTGCTTTCAATAAGACACTGGCAGCACTTAGTGTCGATTTGTACCACTGGCCCCTCACTTTGGGCAATGACATCGGTTTTTTTCATGTCAGCATTTGAAGATGGACAGTATTTTATATCCTCTGTCCCACATATGGGCAATGGCAACAATAACAGAGGATGCAAAGATAGCTCTTCTGCAGACAGAAAATGTTGCAGCATGAGTGCATCAGGACTGGAACTCTGTCAGGCAGTTCTCTCATCTTGTGCCTTTGGAACGCACATTGGAAGTTGCTGCTTTGTTATTGAACACTGTGCAAAGTACTCAATCTATAGTAAAATGTGTGCAGTTACCATATGCTGTACTATGCTCCCAAAATGGCAATCCCTCAGCCCAAGTAACACCACTGCTCAAATGCAATCATCAAACTGGGCCCAGATTCAGGTGCACAGTTGCATGGTAAAGAAAAGTTCTTTTAATTGAGTATCATGCACCTTTTGCTGTACAAAGAATTTGCAGCTCAAAAGAAGGTTCACACGCAGAGAGCCTTGCATTTACCATGTGATTTACTACTTTGCTAACGTTAAAAAAAAGAAAAGAATGAAAAAGAGAAAGATGTTCGGAAAAGCAAGTAAAGAAAAGATTGTTAGGAATTTATCAACAATTTTTTACAGTTCACTTAAAATATATACTCAAGAATTCTGCACGTGCATGTTAAAAAAGTAGAACTTATTCTAAATGCAATGCTGAATATGAGAACAGACATACCTATATTCTACTGCATATGTATGCTGTACATTTAGGTATAAACATATGTATACCAGATATCTGATCATGATTACCAGAGTCATTCTTTTATTTCCTAAATTTCAAGCCATTAAACAAATTGGGCCAAATTCTCAGCTGGTGTAAATTGGTATTGCTCCATAATTCATTTATGGCACAATGCAGTCTTCCCAAGTTCATGACCATAAAAATGTCATCGTATCACACATCACTACATGTTATATTTAGAATGCAAATGTTTTACTTCAAACTACCCTATCAAAATACAATCTAAAGCACTTCGCTACTTCCCAAAAATAATAGTCAAATTGTAATATGCTTTTGTGCAGAAAAATCTGTAAGTGTATAACATTGAATATCTGAAAGTGGAGGGGCTGAGAGAATCACAATACTCTGTTATACATTTTGATGAGCAAGCGAGTCTAGTCTAGCGAGCTGACACAGAATATAGGCCAAGATTTTCAAAGGTGACTAGTTATTTAATTTTTGAGTGCCTTATTTTTGAGGGCTCAGTTTGAGACACCTTAATAAAGGGGCCTGATTTTCACAGGGCAGATGCTCAGCGCTTTCTAAAATTCAGGCCTCTTGAATGTGTCTCAAGTTGGGCACTCAAATATTGGGTACTCAAAATCAACAGTCACTTTGAAAATCTTCCCTATTATTGTCAAGATTCTTAAAAAGCACATGTGGCACTTAGACACCTAATGCCCATTGAAAGTCAATGGGTGTTAGGTGTCATAAGTGTCTTTTGTGCTTTGAAAATCTACCCCAAAAGTCTAAACCTAAATATGCGTGTGCATGTGGGGGGGGGGGGGGGAGAGCTAATCAGGGGTCATAAAAAAGGCACACAACATTTCCTGCAAAGCAAATTGTTAGAAAACAGTACTATCTTATGGACAACTAGTAGCTTTGTTTACTTTGCTTGTTTACCTGTAAATAGCGCTGTCCTGTTTGCTGGTTACAGCCTTTAAGTCAGTGAGTTGGAGGAAACGGTCATGGAAGTAATGAAGGTGTAATATACACACCAATAAGAAAGAGGTTGGAATAAAGATACGTGTGAACAGCTCAGCCACAGAAAACTGTTTTAAACCAAGATCCTCTAGTCTGAAAAATAAAACAAGTCACTAAGTCACCTGTTCAAAATGAATTTTGCAACATTTCTCCCATATCACATGAGATGGATAGTCACAAAACGGTACAGTAAGTAAGATTGTCTTTGCTATGTATCTTATCTTTTCATTTTTCTGAACAAAAGGTAAGAACAATGCAAATGTACAATACCTTATCTTGCCACTTAACCCTTTAAAGGTATGAGACACACTAAATAAGCACTATTAAATAAATCACTACAGCCACAAAATTTGTAGATTAATTTCTTTCTTATATCAAATGTTTTCAGTATAGAATTTCAGAGCCAGCTTTTCCAGCTCGAAGCCAACAACTAGGTTGTTACAATATTGTAGGCGATGGAAAGCAGTAAAAGAGGTTTGTTCTGCTTCTACAAAACAGTATACTGGACTCCCATATAAGATGGCAGCTTTGGGATATATGTGCTGTTTCAAAAGATTTTGTTTTGGGTTTTCTGTTTTTATTTTTCATTTTTTGTTTTGTTTTTGTTACAGCCTTTAAGTCTATTTTTTAAGGTCAGGTTATGCTTTTGGGAGAATGATTAGCGAAAAGCAAAAAAGTTTTGCAGGACACCTCCACTAGTCCATCATGTAGTCAGAATTAGGGCTAGTCACAAATTAGGGCTGGTAGTCAGAAAGAGGTGGTCATCTAGGACAACCAAATAGCAGGGACAGCAAAATGTTCAGTGACATTTTTGTATGGGTGACAGCAGAGTTGTAGGGGCAGATATTTGCTTGTGTGCATGGGGCAGCAGAACCCCCAGTCATGGTTGGAGAAGGTTTCCTGACATTTTTTCCATTATAAGGAGGAAGAGGAGGAAGGAGGTCAAAGGGTGCAAAACATTACCATTTCTCTTGTGCCAAAATTAAAGGTTTGCAAATTGTTTACAAATATTGGTGAAAATCTCTGCTTTTTCACTATGAAAATCTGCAAAGCAAAATAGGGAGTTTCACACCGACCTATGTAAAAAGTCTTTGTAACAGTATGAAAAAAAAATCACTAGCCATCTGCTTGTGCACAATAAGCCCAAGTAAAATGAAAATACTCACTTTTTTTCATCTAGCCCTGTCATGTTCATCCACAAGCCAGGAAATGATTCAAATTGATATGTATAGATGAAGATAAGCACCAGCATAGTGTAAACAACCACTGACATCCAAAAATATTTTAGGATTCGCCTCCACCATTCATAGTGCACCTGGGAACCAGCCATTGAAGATGGTAAGGCAAACAGAACCAAAGCGGAAGAATCTACCAAACTATTTATATTGTTGTACAGGCAGAGGGCTATAAAATATAACCCTTCTCCCTAAACTAACACAATTATTTTATTCTTGACATAACATCAACTCTCATTGATGCTTATCAGAGACATATCCATGTATCAAAGGGAGAATCTTTGTAGTATCATAAAAAGAAGAACAGGAGTACTTGTGGCACCTTAGAGACTAACAAATTTATTAGAGCATAAGCT